AATAGTATACAGTAACCCAACATCTGTATCAAGAACAGTGTCATGTATTAGCAGTAACAACCAGAGCAGCAGTATCAGTGACCAAATATTTCAAAGCATTTTACCCAGCAAAAATAAGAGGAAAAACGACAGAAAAAAAAAGTGAAAGAAAAAAATTTAACAACAAATTTGTTACCTTGACTTGAAAAGTCGCTGTTTCGCCACAATTTGTTGTACCCAACATGATTTGAAGGATAAATTTATTAATTTTTCTTCTTCTCCTTCTTGTTCTTTGTCAGTCAAAGAACGCCAACAAAAATGACTCCTCCAAGCCGTATGATATATCTGCGTAGTGTAGGTATATGGATATACGTGTTTCTGTGCCTGTGTCTATTCTCACATGTAATCTGCTCAACTCAGTGAACAGAACGAATTTTTTTTAGTCTAAGCGGTCAGAATTAGAGATCCCGTAAACTGTATGAACACCAGCGGAATACAGATATGCGCTGTATGTTACCCAAACAGCTCTGCTGTAAAAACAAAAAAGCCCGAACCGCCGGCAATGGCGACAGCAGCAGCGGCAACAGACTATCGTTTTCTTCTTCCTTTCCCTTCTTCTTCCCTCTCCTTCTTCTTCTTTTTCTTCTCCTCCACCGTTCTGTGTTATTCTTATCTTTTTTTTTCTTCTGTTCTAAGTAAAGGATAACGATAACGAAAACCTTTTTCTTTCTATCTACTCCGTTGTTCAGCCAGTAACTGAAAAAAAAAAAAAGGAATAAATCATAAAAACAGGAAACAAAATTCATTCATTATTACTGTTCTGTTCCCCAAATATTATCATAGTTAATCTCACTTTTTTCTTCTTCTATAACAGCTAATTCTTTTGCTCTTACTGTTCTTTAACTGAAACTGATCGAACTTCACAACATTATTTTCATAGACAAGAAGAAAAAAGAGGAAAAAACGAGACTAAGGTGAACGCGAACAAATTTGTGGTCATTTTTAGTGATATTTATCTACTCAGCTTTTCACTGTTACCAATTTCTGAAAAGAACAACAACAATAACAACGAGAATTAATAATATTAATGGTACTTCCGGTCTATTTTCACAGTTATCGTTGTCTAACCATCTCCATAATAATAACAACCACAACAACAACAGAAAATGATAAAAAAAGCAGTAAGAGTAAAAAAATTATAAATAAAAAAAAAAAAAGAAAAAACCTAAGATAGTGATGGATGGTTTATTGAATTTGACACAGACAAGGTAACCAAACCCTGGAAAACTGAGGAGCCAAATCAGTCGAAGTCATTCAGTTATTCATTATTCAATATGATGACGATGATGATTGCTGACGCCACTTATTCACTATGTATATTATAATAGCCAAAAAAAGGCTTCTAGAGAAAATAAGTGGAAAAAGAATTTTTTCATATAGGGCAAGTAAATATCATTGACAAATTACACTTCCAATAAATAACAAAAAAAAAAGTGTGCAAAAATATGTATTCGGCTGATCCATTAATAATAGTCGACTTTTGCCTCTTACTTAATTCATCAGTTCATTAGTTCGTCGGTTGAATCCAGTTCATAATCGTTTATCAAAACGAGAAACCAAAAAAAATCAGTCTCCAATATTTTCAACAGCTATGGCGTTCTAATGACACGAAGATTTTGTAGATTCAGAAGTCAAGAAATTGCAGAAGACACCATTTTTTTTTTTATTCGTAAAAATTTTTACCAATTGGCCCAAATCCCCTGGTTTTTCCTTTCTTCTCGGTTACATTTTACAGTACCAAACGATTTCTGGATACAAAACTACAAATTCCAAAGTCAAGATACAGTAAGTAGTGCATTTCCAGAACAACAGCCTCAACGACTAGCCTAAATTTTCGGTTGTCAAAATGAGATGGTCAACCAAAAAGGTGCCCAAATTTTAACAAATTCAATTTGTTGTTCATAACCTTTGCAAACTGTCTATTTGCCAAATTCGCTTGTTCATTGAATACCGTTCAAATAGTCCAGTGATTTCTGGATTGGTTACAGAGAAATTACTTCCCTTTTTTTTTTTTTCACCAAAAACTGCGACAAAACCGAGCTCTTGAATTCTAATCAACAAGCATCTTTAAAATAAATTTAAAAAAAAAACGAAGTAAAACCGTAACAAGAAAACTTAAGCAGTATGCTTTTCGGTAATGTATTGCAAACTTTTTTTTTTTTTTTCAGATATCTTTCTAACTTAGATAAAACGTGAAACTCAATAAAGCTGCACTAACTTATGAACCAACCAAATACATACAAATATTGATCTAAAGAACGATGGAGAACTTTTCAAGTTGATTAGTGCGTA